CTGCCGTCACCAGGCAGGTGTTTCAGTTGTCACCAGGCAGATGTTTCAGCTGTCACCAGGCAGATGTTTCTGCTGTCACCAGTCAGATGTTTCTGCCGTCACCAGGCAGGTGTTTCAGTTGTCACCAGGCAGATGTTTCAGCCGTCACCAGGCAGATGTTTCAGCTGTCACCAGTCAGATGTTTTAGCTGTCACCAGGCAGATGTTTTAACCCTAACTGTGTGTGTCAGTCTGGGTCTGTACCAGTGGAGCGAGGCGGTGATCCGGAGAGTCAGCAGACTGTGGGACATCAGAGGAGGACAGATGGTCCGTCACCACGTGCACATCCTGGTCACTCCTCGGGTCGTGGTAAGGAGCATCAAAATAAACCATAAAGTCGTAGTTGACTTGATTGACTCAGTTTTCTTCAGCTTTGATCCGTTCAGGCCCAAATGAGCTGTTTTATGTCTGATTCGTAGCCTCAGAGAATTATTATTATGATTTTTTATGTTTTTGACCTCTTGGTGTCATTCTGCATGCTCTTGCAGTAGTTTTGTTCAACTCTGCATGTTTTTTGTTTGTTATACTCACGTTGTGTCTTTCTGAGTTTGTTTTCTTTATTAATAGTAAATCCTTAACTGAGCTCAGTTTTTAAATATTTTTTGTCAGTCACCTCAATTACGACCAGTTCAGCGGTCTGCAGTTATTCTTGTAAAACTTGCACCGTTTCATGCAGGAATTAAAATCAGATGTATCTTCTGATGTGGGCTTTTGTAGAAAAACTATGACAAATATTTTACTTGTCATAGTTTTTGTACCATCTCATTAAAAAACATGTTCAATTAGGAGAAAACCTGACGAGACAGTCTCCAGATGTTCATGGAGATTCATGCAAACGCTTCTTTAGAAACCTTCCACTGCTCTCAGTTTGACGTCGCATAGTTTATAAAATTATCTTTATATTTTTTAACTCAAGCAGCAGCAGCAGCAGCAGCTAGCTGTAGCACTTCTGGGCATCCAGAGGCCACTTCCTAGTGGTGTTCATTGATTGTTTTCTGTTGAGATAACCATGTGATGTGAAACACACAGAGGTGTAAAGGTTTGAACATCCATCCATCCATCCATCCATCCATCCATCCATCCATCCATCCAT